CCTTGGCGCTCCGCGCTGGATGCGGCCCCACGGTGGTCTGGTCGCCCAGGCTGCTGCAGGAGCAGTTGTGCCTTTAAGCTCCTTTTCTTCATCCCATGTAGCAGCCTCTTGCAGACCCCCTCTTCCCACCTAGCGCCCAGATCTCTGTGCTTTCGAACGTTTGAGAAGTGGCGAGTTACTGCTCTCATCAACACCCCGTTTGCTTTTCTAGGCGGTCAGCGCATTAGCTGGAGTTCAGGACCAGCTCATTGAGAAGCGTAAGTTGCTGTTTCCTTTCTCGCAGGATTTGGAAAGAATTATGCTTCTCCGCAGCATTCAGCTCTGTGTGCAGCTGCCTGGACCCGGGCTGTGCTCGCAGCTCCCTGTGTGAGCACAGCCTCAACCCCGAGCACACGTCAGCAAAGGTGCCCTGTGAGACACGAGCTGTTTCCTTTCTCGAGTGAACTTTCGTGCTCAACAAGAGTTTATTGTGCGTAAAACTAGTTTCAATGGATTTGGTGCTCTTGGGAGAAGGAGGCTACAGGAGCTGAAGCAACACATTCGGGTGTGTGTTGTCAATCACAGGGGACATGTGGAGGAGCCTCTTACCTTCAGGACTTTTAAAAATGGTTTTGTAATTGGTACCACACCGGGTACCTTTCTGGCACATTCCTCTTGCTGGGGGGGTACCTGCTGTCCTTAAGGAATGTTTTGCAGGTTCTCTCTCTTATTTACCTCCTGATGCCATAAGGCTTCGGCTGTCTCTGCTGCCCGCGCACCGGTGCTGGGGTTGCTTCCTGCGCAGCGGGCAGCCGGGGCTGTGCGCTGCAGGGAGGTAACTGCTGTGCTCATGTGTGTTTGTCCTGCTCTAGGGGAGCCGGGCAGCGGCACGGAGAGCGACACTTCTCCAGACTTCCACAATCAGGAGAATGAACCCAACCAGGAGGATGCTGAAGAGCTGGATGGGTCTGTGCAGGGGGTGAAACCCCAGAAAGCTGCTTCTTCCACTTCTTCTGGGAGCCACCACAGCAGCCACAAAAAACGGAAGAACAAAAATCGACACAGGTTAGTGGTACCAGCAGCCTTCTAGCCATGCCTTCTGAGCGGTTAGCTGCTGCTGAGCTTGCGTGATGTGGAAAGAACTAGTAACTTGTTAGAACAACAAGCAGCTTGGGGTATTTGTTTTGGTAATCTTTCTGGTTTTTAGTTGTACCCATCCCGTAGCGTTCATCAGCACCCCGTTGTGTCAAGGAGGGGAAAACATGCTGAAGAAGTTAAACAAGCAGCACAGGGTGCTGACTCCAGCTCTGGTCCAGCCGTACTTTTGACCAGGCTTTCTCAAGTCTCCTGTCTGTCCAGGAGAATAAAGGTGTCTGGCTTCCAGTAGAGGAAGATTGCAGTCCTGGCCTCCTGTGCTTGCTTACTGGTTTCTGCAGGACCAAGGGAGGTGGGAATGTCAGTGCTTTCTTTGGAGAAGGAGGGTGAAAAAGCAAATCTAAATGTTCTGGGGTTGTGGACACTCCCAGTATCTTCACTAAGATTCCCATTCCAGGCCCTGTTAGCTGTCATATACCAAGCTGAGTCTCTTGATCATGGCATAGAAAAGTTGCTTTGCTACGTTAACCTCAAAGTGTTTATTGTTAAACTGACTTGAAATTCATGTGAAACAAAGATTTCCTGAACTCTTTATAGCTGAATTTAGGTGAATGGTTCTGACCCTTAAAACCCTTAAAACATGGTGCAGTGTGGCAGGCTGCTGGCTCAGACTCCCTGCCTCACAGCACTGCTCTCCGTGGGCCAACAGAACCTGCTGCTGGACCATAGAACCACAGACTGGTTCGGGTTGAAGGGACCTTAAAGCTCCTCCAGCTCCAACCCCTGCCACGGGCAGGGACACCTTCCACTAGAGCAGGTTGCTCCAAGCCCCTGTGTCCAACCTGGCCTTGAACACTGCCAGGGCTGGGGCAGCCACAGCTTCTCTGGGCACCCTGTGCCAGCGCCTCAGCACCCTCACGGGGAAGAGCTTCTGCCCAAGAGCTCATCTCAATCTCCCCTCGGGCAGGTTAATGCCATTCCCCTGTCATTAAAGCCAAGGCTTTCTACAGAACGTGGCAGTGCTCTGTGGAGTCAGGCCCAAAGGGGGGAAACATGTTGATCCATGGAAAGAGGAGACATTTCCTGCAGAAATGCAGTCCATGCAGAGCTTGGCTTTAGACAGGCTTTTCTCTTTAAGGGACCTTCTCATGAGTTACGAGAGAGAGATGTTTTAAAGAGAAATGGTTAAAATGTCCAGAGTTGCTGGGGGAAGCTTGTCTGGTGTGGGAGATACAGAGGTAGGTATAGTGCTTGAGAAACGTGTAACTGCTTTTTCTCCTTCATTAGGTTTTGAGTCATTAGTGTGTCTTTAATTCTTAGATCAGAATTTGCTTCCTACAACAGTCTTAATTGGGCAAACCTCCTAAAGTACTGGGTGTCCCTTTGGGGCTCCTCATGAGCTGGGAGTCCAAAGCAGTTCAAGACTCTTTCATTGCTTGTAGACAATTGGAAAGAAGTTCGGGAATAACACAAGAAACTCCATCTGTGAATAAGTTCAGAGAAAAACAACCTGTAAACCTGAAGTACAGCTTAAGAAAACTGCTGTTTTAAACAAGTTATGAAATACTCTTCTAAGCACTCACCTGGCCAGCAAACCCTTCTCTGCAGACACAGCGGGGTGCAAGCCAGAGGCTGTAAATAATATCAGTTCTTTTGCTCCGTTGCATAACCTGAATTTTAGGGACAGGAGTTAGGAAGAAACTGCCCTGCTGACTGGTTGAGTTGCTTTGGGGTTTCTTCTCTGTTCCTTCCACTGAAGCAGCTGATGCTGGCTGCTGTCAGGGACAGTGTTGGACATGAGGAGCCCTGGTCTGAGCTGGTACGGCAATTCTTACCCTCCTAAGAGATGCGTCAGACACATCTACATTACAGAAAGGCTTAGTTAGTAATTGACTGTTTTCCAATGCCTAACATGGGCAGGTAGAGAATTAAGGTAATTAAGTTTGTAACAAAAACTCTGTTGAAGTTGTGATTGCTGTTACTATCCCCTCAATTTTGGCAGAAAAGACCAAACAATTTATATCTAGCTTAAAAAAACCCTAAGGACAAAGCAGTCCCAGTCTACTAAAAATACAGCTACGTGCTTTAAAACGCATTGCAGCCCCGAGTGCTGTGGGAAGAGACCTGAGGGTCTGTTTCTTGAGTGCCATAGACTGGAAAAGAGTAAAATCCAAAGAAATACTGGCTTTTCTTTTTGATCAGAAGCTCTTCTGTTTGCCATCATACTGCCAGAGTTCTGCTCTCATGGTCCTGGAGCACAGGGAGGAGTTGGGAACTGAAGGTGCACTGAGTCCCTTGGGATTCAGACTGGGCAGAACTGGTGTGAATAGGCAGGTCAAGTGCCAACAGTGAAAACCAGGGAATCGGGTGGAAGTTACAGTGTCTTTACTGAAGTTCTCTGTTCCCTCTGAACCCACAGGAAGGCCAGGATGGTTACTTCCTGTGGGCTCAGCAATTTTCGTGCCTAAAAAGTGCTTCAGGAGAAAAGCAATACTGCTCTTAGAAAGTCGGTGCTCAAAAGCTACCGAGTTAGAGCCGATTTGTGGAGAAGCCCTTTCCAAGACACACAGGGGTTGGCTCTGGGGCAGGAGTGTTCCTAGAGACAGGGCTGTGGTGTGAGTGCAGAGGCGAGGGGTGGGAATGTCACCAAACTGTCACTAGCTTTGGCCAAATGACCGTGTTCTCTTTTTAGCTCTCGAAAGGCAGCGAGTGCAAGAGGAGGATGTGTGTGTGCGAGTGCAGTGTGAGACTCTCCAAATGCCAAGTCAGCCACTTAGTTCCGTGTCTCCAGCTCTGCCTGAACCAGCTTTGCTTTGCTGTAATAATCTAGACAAAGCCTCTGCTCTCTGACCACCCGCTCGTTCGGTTTTGCAAGCAAATCAGTCTTCCTCTCTCTGAGCTAGTGGGCACTCCCGAGGGTCTGATAGCTCCTTTTTCAGCACCTAAAATCCCCTCCCTAAACCCACTCTGCCTCTGGTCTAACACCTCTATTACTCAGAAATCCAGCTGGGGAGGGGGACTCTGGATTGCCACATCTGGAGCGCTTTTTGTGCCCAAGTTGGGTTAAGATACCTTAAGAACTTTATGGCATTTGAACACTGGCTTTATTATTTCTTTCATTTTCTTTTATTTTTTAGTAATCTCACTAGGGTGGCTAATCAACTAATTTATTTAATTCATTAGTATATTAATTTCTATTGCTTTCTTCCTTTCAAATGCTGCCCCTCAGCCCGTCTGGCATGTTTGATTATGACTTTGAGTAAGTTTGACTTGAATTAGTACTTGTGCTGTGTTGTTAGTGTGTAGACACCAATGTGCCTTTTGAGACCTTTCTAACCCATAGTTTATCTGTTTAATTGTAGGTATGTATATTAGGTTAGGCTGGGAAGTTTTTTTTAAAAACAGAAAAGCGTGATGGAGGTAACATTTTATTTAATAACTTCAGCAAAATTAAATTAACTTCACTCTCCTTTACCTTTCTATTTCATTTTTTTTTGTTTTAAATAGATCCAACTTTTTAACTTAAAACCGTAGTTTAAAACCTGATTCTTCTGGCTTTGCTTCTGAAGGAGATTAGCGTAGATCGGATATTTCCTTCTGGAAGAATGTAATAAACTCAATACCTTTGACTCATCTAATCCCTGTCATCTTAAACTCCTATCTCTATTCCAAGTAAATAACCATTACCACTATGTCTGAATAATTACCTGTGGCATAGTTGCACATCTAACAAGTTAACATAGAGCATGCGTATTTAACCTCATTTCTTTATGCTGCATAACTTCCCTGTGATTTTGGTTATGAACCTTTCATTAACTCCTTTTTTGAGTGGACAGAATATGCATTTTGGCAAATAATAAAGAATCCACTCTCTTGTCTCTTTGCTGCTCTCTTGTCCAGTAATACTGGGACAGTGATTTGGCTCAGCCCAATTGAGAATGTGGATTGAATTAACCAAATAGTCTTTGTTGTAGCCTGTGCCATATGCAGTAGCTGGTTCTTTGAACTCTAGTGTTGGTTTAATGTATTGAAATGGACATTTCTCTTATCTTTCCAACCACAGGATTGATCTCAAGTTAAACAAAAAGCCAAGAGCCGTAAGTATCAGTGCTCTGTCATTGTTTTCATTGCTCATCTGTAGACTTGAGTGGCTGACTGACTCCTAATCTTAAAAAGCCTCCCTCTGCTGTAATTTAAGATCTTATTTTCATGGTTGAGGAGTTTCACGGTATGAGATAAGCATTGTCTGGTGGATTTAACAGTAAATAAGCCCAGGTAGGCTTGTTATGAAGCCAGGTCACAGTTAATCCGATGCACTTTTTAGGAAGAAAGCTGGTTTGCGTCCTCTTGCCTTGTCATGATCTGCAACATTAGAAGCATCTGGTTTGAGTTGATGTGTTCTTGAATGAAGGTTTTGAAGGGTCCTTTCTTTTGAATGTTTAGCTACATGTTTTGCCTGCAACTAATGGTGTGTAGAAATGAGAGAAGACGGAGAATGCCAGCTCTGCAAGCAGAATTGAAGGCAGAAAAAGGTGTTAATGCACCCATCCTTTCCTTTCTCTGCAGGACTACTAGACTCATCAGTGCTGATGCTTCTGGGATTTAGGTCTACGTGAATCCCCACTGAGAAAATGCCAGTCGACTGAATGAGCACGATGGCAGCTCTCTGGCCAAGTGTCTGCAGATGGGAGTGACTCACTCTAAAGAACTTAGATGGGGGGAGAAAATCTTGGACCATGTACTTTGCATCATTTTTAAATCACCTGAGTTGCAGGAAGACTAAGGTGTAGTAGTAGTAGTAGTCCCAAAGTCCTGATTATTCTGTGCTTCCACCTCAGTCGGGAACTTCCTAGAATTGGCTCATGTTGCTGCTGCCACCCCTGTCATCTGCAAACCCATGGAGAGGTCTTTCTTTTTCCACTGGAACTGGGCTATGATTCAGTGTGTCCCATCCATGTTGTAAGACTTAGATGATTACTTCTGTTGCTGATACTTAGCTTTGTAGTTTTGTTTTTGTTGGTTCTGTTGTGTGGGTATTTTTTTAAAGCAAAGCGTATAGTTAACAACTGGACTTTTGGTTTCTTTGGTTTAATCCATGTAGAGTGGCAGGTTCTTCAGTTTGTGGAACAGCTCCTTTTGATTCTTTGTCAGGCAGAGAAGAAGGTGGTTGGCCCTTTTCTCTCCAGTTTCATTTTAAACACCATCTCCCAAAATCTACACAGTGCTTTTAGATGCAGGGAAGGCTGGAGCTCGAAGCCATCTTGCTCTTTGCTATCTTTGAGATTGGGTGGATCCTCTTTTTAATACAAACTTACGTCATTTGTACATAAACAATAAAAGTTACATGTTTGTCTCTCTTCTCGTGTTTTGTTCAGTGCAAAATCTGACTCCTGGTGCTTTTTATTCTCCATCTGCTCTACGAGGCCTTTGCTGCATTCTTCCACTTGCACAAAGTAGCTGCTCCTTGTCTCGTGATCCTGAGGTTTCCTTTGTGCTTGCTTTCCTCTGGTAGACACAACAGTGAGTACTTGCAAGGATTGCCAGGCACTGATCTCCAGCTGCGTTCAACTAATCCTGCTGCAAGGTAGGACTGGGTTGTAAGTCAGTTCTTGCTGATCCTGGCAGAATGCCTGCAGATAAGGGCCAAGCAGGCTGGACTGCCACTGGAAGAGCACGCAGAGGGATGAGTGTTGGGTGCTTTCCACAGTAGCCAGGTCAAGATACCAACGCTGAGGTTGAAATCAGCTTTGCTTTCCTCACCGTGGCAAGTGCTGTGATGCAGTTGTGTCTGCTTAAAGATTGCTGATGGCGAGGGGGCCATGGGAGAAGGTGGATCACTTTCCTGCTGCCTTAGGTCCTCGAGACACCCCAGTCAGTGCAGAGCAGTGCCTAAGAGTGAAGGCAAATGGATAGGAACAAAGTTCTCCCGTTGTCTGGCTCCGGGATCGAGGCAGCTCCGTGTTTGGTCGCGGTGGAAGCTGGTTTGTCTTGGGGCTGGTGCTCTGCTGTCAGGGGCTGGCAGCTGCTTCTCTGGGGGGGGATGTCAGGATGTAACAGCTTAACAGGCAGGCTGCAAAGCTGTCCTACTTCTTGGTGTTTGAAGTAACAGAGGTTAAATACAGGGGGGTGGAAGATCTGGGAAACAGCATAAACCTCTGCAAGGCCTCGTTTTTCAGTAGTTCTGGAAAGAAGAAGTCACAGGTGATGGTTTTGATTACTTGGCCTTGGTACAAAAGCAGTTTTTCTCCCTCTACTGCTGCTGCTCCAAAGCAAGGATCACAAGAGCTCCTGAACTTCAGAGCGTCCAACGCTTCGCTGCCCCTCTGACCTCGAGGAAAGCAGCTCTGCCTTTTTGGCCAGAACCTTGACCTGCAGAGGAACAGCGAAGGGCTCGCACAGCTTGGCGTGAGTCCCGTGTGTGCAGGCGTGTTGGTGGCGGTGTCCGTCAGCTCTGCTTTCCCTGGGACACGCACCAGGGGTGCTGCAGGGACACGGGATGAGGCAACCTCTGCTGCCTCCGGCACTGTTTGTCACCGGAGGACCGGGACAGCCTGTTCTGATGAGGACAGCGGCCGGCGGCCGGGGGAGCCAGCGCATTGATCCGGGCAGCGGTGGCCAACGCGTGGGTCACGGCAGCTCTTCCTGCCCGGTCCTTCGGCTGCCTCGAGATGAAGAGGCCACAGGGCCCCCGAGGTGTGTCCCAGCAGCGGGAACAGCCTCTGTCCCAGCACAGGCCCAGCTCTGCAGCACCGGTGTCACCGTAGGGCAGGGGGAGGCTCTCTGATCGTGCTGGGAACAAGCACCATCACCTACAAGCATGTCCCGAGGTGGATGCTGGAGTCTGAGTCTAAACCATCTCTTTTGTCTGTTTTTCCTCCTGAACAGCCTGACTAAAGCTCCCCAGTGTAGGCAGTGCCTGGCCTTGGACACAGGAGTGAGGGTGAGCTCCAGGCTTTTACCTGAACGTCAATGAAAGCTAAAAGCACTTAAAAACAAATCAACAAGTCCTTTGCTTGCAGAAGATGAGGCCTGAGCAGAGCAAACGAGGAGTGGCCGAGCAGCAACTGTCCTTATGGCCACCGAAGGTAGAGAGGAGAAGAGCTAATCCGCTGCACAGTCTCGTCACCAAGAGGATTAGGCAGTTCTCAAGCCCAAGCAAGCGGCAGAGAGCAGCCACGAGGCAGGAGGAGCAGCG